AAATTAATTTTGTGAATGGATAGCCATTTGAAATTGATAATTTAAAGACTCTTAATTTATTCGAATATTTAATTGTTAAATGTCATTACACATTGATTTCAAGTAAAGAATTCATAAAATTTTAGAACATTATATAAATGTATTTAAACCAAAAAATCCTTTATAATAAGATTAAATTATCAAGTTTTTATGCTTAGCATCAAGTTGTGGAAGTTATACACTTTTTGATTTAATTACAGATCAAATTCTTAATTTAAAGTTTCCTTAATAATATAAAGATTAATAAAAGTTCCCATAAATTTAGTAATATCTAAATTTACCAATATTTTATTAAGTATTAATGTATTCTAGTGAATAATCATCAATAAAGTTTTTTGAGAATATAATAGTAGATGGTGTTGACTTAAATTTATTTTATAGTTGGATGAAATTTAATATTGATGAAATAGAAAATGAAAATATATCTGAATATAATTGTTTTGTATTAATAATCATTAAGAAATACGGGATGCTCTTTAATAAAATTGTCTAATTCTTAAGGAAATTACTAAAAAACGATAAGGAATATTATTAAAATCTTACTGAGATTATGGACAATAGGAATTTCAAGGAATCAAATATAATCAATGATAATGAAGAAAATTAAGAAAGTGAACGACTATCTTTATTGGAATTTTCAATTTATTAAGGATTTCCAGATTTTTGTATGGTTTTTGATAAGAATATCAAATTGAGAAGAAATTTATTTACAGAATAAGTTTTTTCAATCTTAGAGGAATCTATGAATAAATGTTCTTCAGAATTAAAATAAGATGATTCAGTTTTAATTAATTATTGTAATAAGTATGAAAAAGATTAAGGAAATTATAGGGTTTAACATTATAAAGTTTATTTAATGCTTACAAAATATTTTGAAGGAAATAAAACAATTATAACATCTTTATAAATAAGTGTTATATTCTTTAAAATTATGTTGGAATATAAACCAGATTTAAATTTATTATTAAGAGTAAATTAAAAAATAAGTTTAACTGAAGATATTGAAAATCTCAAAATTTTTTAATTATTATTTTATGAATAATTTTTTTATCTACATCTTTGTGGATTTGATAAGGTTATGAAATATTAATTGAGTATAAGTGATTATGTAAGATAATTTCATTCTAAATAAAAATTGTTTTGGGCATCATAAGAAGTGATTGATGCTTTTAAGACTTATTTTAAATTTGATTATAATTAAGAACTAAAAATGATGAATTAATTTGAATAAAGTCAATTAAATGATTAATTAGATCAATTTACTACTGAAGTTATGTTATATATATATTACAATTAACCAGATTTAGTTGAAAGATCAGAAAAACATTAGTAACCATTAAAATCATTTTCTTCTTATAAATAAATGCTACCTATCATTCGTCATTAATCTACTTAAGAAATATTACAACCTATTGAATAAAAGAAAATGAAAAATAATGAACTATAATAAATTGTTGAAAAACAATAAGAACATTTCAATAAAATAGTGGGTTAAGTTATAATTGAAGATGTAGAATCAAATTATCAATATGCAGCTATTTTAGTTATTTATATTTCCACATGCAATGACTTAATTAATTATATTGGAGAAAGTGATATAACTAATTATAAAATTGTTCCTATCTTAAATTAAATATTAGAAAGATTATCAATTAAAGATTTAGATTGCTTTATAGTTTAATTGATATTTTCAATTAGAAACAATGATTTATATAATATTGTAATGGAATGGAGTCAATAATCTAAGGCTGCAATTAATAAAGATATTTTTAAGGAGAAATCTTTCATTTAAGGATTACTTAATTTACTTAATGTTAAAAGAAAATCTTAGAATTACGTTATTAATTATTAGCAAAATGATTTATTGAAACTATTTTAATTTGAATTTGCAAAAACAGATAAAATGTGTAAAGATAAAATATATAGAGGGGTATATATATATATAATATATTTTAGCTTTGTGTTTTACATATAGTCTTCAATTTTATCTCAGAAATTGAATCTTTTATGTAGTATGTTAATCCTAATGATTAGATTACAATTAATATAGAATTAATGGAATAATCTAAAGGAAAAAATATTAAATTAAAGGTACTTTCGAAAAAGGATATTATTAATGATCAAGATCTTACTGGATTCAATTATCAATTAGAAATACCTATGATTTATCAAGAAAAAAACAATATCATAAATTTATTCATCAATTAAAGTGTAATCAAAGAATTTGAAGAACTTTCAAAGAAATAAAAATTTGATAAGATTCAACTTAAAGAATTCTAAGAAGAATTATAAAATTAATAACAATTTATCAACTCATACCAAGTTTAATTTGCAATCAAACCTAATTAATTATAATATGATATCCTTAAAATTGTTAAGGAGCAACTTAGTTAGAAATACCCATTTGAATTTGGAAGTTAATATGGCAATATTGTTCATGATATTACTTTAGACAAAGATATATTTTTTGAAGATGAAAATAATAACAAAATAATTTAAAGAAAAAATCTTTCAATTGAAGATGAAGTCAATGTGTCAGCTTACTTCGATGTAACAAGTTATAAGTATGAAATTACACTGAATGTACTTATCTTAAAGAAAGCCGAATATTTTAGCAAATGCAATAGGGAGAATTAGATTAAATAATTAATTGTAATTTTATATATTTGATATATTTAATAGGATGATTATGCAAGAAAATAAAGTTAATTACATTATATTAAAAGATTTTTAGATGTAGATGGTAATAATGTTTAGGAATATTAAAGTATGATGGAATTAATTAAAGAATAAAAAATTTAAAAAAAATAAAAAAGTTAACTTAGTGATTATGAACTTAAAGAATTAAAATTATTACAAGAAAAATATCAAAAATATTAAGTACCTCCATATTTTGTTTATGAATTGGATTGGCCTATTTATATAGAAAATAAAAAGGATTAAGCAGAAGAGTATAAGAATAAACCAGATGAGTATAAGATTAAAGCAGATGAGTATAATTTCCCATAATTGTTATTGAAGAAATTAATATCAATTATAGATGGTGTATTCTTTGAAACAGTTTAAAGTGAAAATGATAATAAGAAATCTAAAGTCAAGACAATTTTCATTAAAGAATAAAGTTTTCAAATTAATTACATATCATTTATTGATACTTTAGTTTTGTAATTTGCTAAAATTCTTGAATTAAAATAAAAAAGTAGAATGATGTAATTGAGTCTTGAAGATGTAGCTTATCAAGCATTAGAATGGCCATTCCTTAAATATATAATAAATATCATAAAAAGTAAAATTGAAAAAAGTTCTTTACTATTTGAAATGAAAGAGTCAGCTAAACCAGAAGTATTATATTCTATTTTATATTATATAGATATCAATTAATTTACCAGGAATTGATGAATGTCTTTAATTATCAAAGACAACTTACTTTTAATATAATGGAATGTTTGTAGTAAGATTAGGAGTCTATTTCAATAAAAAGTTATTAAAATTAGAAAAACCAGAAAACTAAAATTTAAGATATTCTTAAAATTTCTCATTAGATTATAATTTAGAACCTTATATAAATTATGTCATAAATGAACCTTAATTAAAAGCAGTTCTAAAAAAAGAAAATAATAATATTTTATGAATGAGAGTATTTTAATCATATTATTAAAATTTTATTGTTATAATCATAATATAAATTTATAATATAAAACTTTTAAGAGTAATTATAATTTTTTAATAAAAGTCTTACTATAATTATCATAATATACTCAAAAATTATGGATCTTAGCATTTCTTACATTTTGAACAAGGAACTAATTATTTATTAATTTATGACTATAATAATAAAGTATTATTGCATGAATCTTCTTAAGTCTTTCTTTAATTAGATTTCTTGTAACTAAGTTAATTCTCTAATCCTATAATCATTTATTAACTGACACTCTTTTTATTTTTTATTTCCTTTAATTCTCTTTCTTATTATTATAATAAATCTTATTGATCTCTTTCTCTTTATAAACGTTAATTAATTTATTTTTCTTAAGCATCTCTTTCCTTTTTTCTTTTTACTTATTCAGTCAAATCCAAAATTAATTATCTCTATGAATTCATTTTTTCTTATTTCTCCTATTATAAAAATAAATGATATTCTCTTAAAGCTTTAACTCTATCTTATATATCTTTTTCTTAATCCAATTTTGATTAATTAATCTTCTTTAATCTTTCTCTCTCAAAATGTGTCCAATTATTATTTACATATTGTTATTAATAATTCTTTCTTTGTAAAACTTCCTTTTCTCCTTAAGATTAATGTCTCCAGTAAGGATCATCAATAATTCCATTATTTTAATGAAAATCTTGCTAAGTCAATCTTTTCTTCTCTTCAATCTATTCTTTCAATTATTATCCAAGACTCTATATTTTTTTTAACTTCTATATCTTTTCTTACTCCTCAATATCTAAGTTTTTTCTTATTATTTGTCTTTCAAATTCTATTTCTTGAGCTTTCTGTTGTGATTGCATTTCTTATTTCTTTAACTAAAATTAACTGGATAATTGAAGATTGAATTATTCTATTTATTTTCTATTGATTATCTGTTACCTTTCTACTTAAGATTTGTATTACTCTTCCTGTAAATTGATATCCAATTACCTTTTCATTAAGTTCTATAGAGATTAATAAAACATACAACCTTTTCTAATTCATTTTATTGTCTTTTCATGTATTCTCGTTACTCATGTAATTTCTGATTATAGCAAGGACTACATAATAACGATTAACTGTTTTATAATCGTTATTAAGAGTGACCCATTTCAGCTTATAATCTAGATTAACTGACTTAAGATCTAGCACTACTTGCTCTTTTAGGATTGTTGGCTTTGATTTATTCATACTTTTCTCTCATCTATTTGATATTTGACATTTGATCGATAAAAATTAAAAATAAAGTAATTTTTATATATTATTGTTATCATATTTTCTTTCTTAGAAGTCGTTGTAAATTCAACTTCAAATATTTGAGTTACTCAATAAAGTTATCATTTAATGGTTGTAATTACAATGGAGTTTTTGCACATTTCTAATTTTTATATAATCTAAATTATTACAGGATTCTCCCTCAAATCCTAATCAACTTCTTCATCTACTTCCTTTAGCATCATTTCTAATATAGTTAACTTTTAAGAAGACTTCTTGTTGCTTTATTAGGGTTTTAATTTTTCTAAAGAATAGTCATTGGTTGTTGGTATTTTAGTTACACTACGCATTCTAGCAATTTTAGGATTTGAGTATATGCTTTGTAAATTTGGAGAATAATAGCCTACAGCTGGATTTTGAGGGATAACAGGTAATACTATTCTCTTATGATTTATTTTTGGTCTAGTATTAGGTTTATGTTGGGGTTAATGTAAACTCCATAAAGTTGGTTATGATTGATGTCTTGTGTGAAATTTATTTAAATTCATTAATTTAGATTGATTATTATATAGATTGTTATTGTATTAGAGTTGTTTGATTTTGTAGGGTTATTATGTTGGATTCTAAAACAAATGGAATATTAAAATGAATAGTGAATAATTGAATCTTATCATCAATATCTACTTATTTTGTGAGTAAATATTGATGATAAGAGTTGTGTTATTAAAATAATAATAAATGGGGAATTAATGCTGTACTAATCAACCTATAGAGTAAACTTATTGAATAATATGAATAGACCAGATAAGTAGATTGAGACTAAGCCTGAAGATATGAACAAGTTATTGTAATAAGAGTCTAAGAATGAAGAAGAACCACTTAAATAAATAATATGTAAAAGAATAATGTGATAATTTTAGCAATTCCTACTTTGTCTGTGTAGCCATCACTATTTATTTAGATGAAAAGAGAAACCATATATAGCACTTATCAAGTGGGGAAGTTATTGGGTGAAGGTAAATATTTAGTAATGGTAGGTGCATATGGGCAAGTTTCAATAGTAACACATAGAGTTACAGGAATGTAAAGAGCAATGAAAGCTATCCGTAAGGACTGTTTATTTGAAGAAGAGTAAGCTAAATTATTTTCAGAAATGACAATTTTGAAAAATCTTGATCATCCTAACATAGTCAATTTATTTGAGTTATATGAAGATGATAAGTTTTATTATTTAATAACAGAGTATAAATTATATATTAATAGATAGATATTTACGTGGAGGTGAATTATTTGATCGTATTCAAAAAGCTAAAAACTTTAGTGAAGCAGATGCTGCTAGATATATGAAATAAGTAATGTAGGCTGTTGGTTATTGTCATTCAAAGAATATAGTTCATAGAGATTTAAAACCAGAAAACATTATTTTCGCTTCTGAAGATTAATATTCAATCTTAAAAGTAATTGATTTTGGAACTTCAAGAAAATTTGAACATAATCAAAATATGTCTAAAAGATTAGGAACAGTATATATAATTTATTTATTATAATAGCCATATTATATTGCACCTGAAGTTTTATAAAAGAAATACAATGAGAAATGTGATGTATGGTCATGTGGAGTCATTCTTTATATTTTATTAGCTGGTTATCCACCATTTTATGGAAGAAATGAAAGTGAGATATTTGATAGGATTTTAAAAGGCAAAATTCCATTTCATAGTATAATATTTATATTATGAAGCTACTGAATGGAATAAAATATCGAAGGAAGCTAAGAATTTGATCACAAATATGTTGTGTTTGGATGTAGAAAAAAGATATTCTGCTTAATAAGTATTTGATGATCCTTGGTTATAATAAGGAAAAGAATCAAATTTGATTGATGATAATTTCCTTAAGAATTTAACAGAATTTAGTGCTAAGAGTAAATTGAAATAAGCTTTATTAACTTTTATGGCTAGTCAAATGATTTAACCAAAAGAAGTTGAATAAATATAAGAATTATTTAAATAATTAGATAGAAATGGTGATGGTAAATTATCTAAAGATGAATTAATAACTGCTTTTTAATAGAAAGTTTAAAGTGGAGATAGATTAATTGAAAATATGGAAACTAAAATAAATAAGATTGTTACAGAAATTGATGTAAATATGTCTGGATATATTGATTATACTGAATTTATTGTAGCATGTTTGAAATATGAAAAATTATTGACAATTGAAAAAATTAAATAAACATTCAAAATCTTTGATATTGTATATTAGTAGTTTAATTTATTATTTAGGATGGTGATAATTATATTTCCAAAGAAGAATTATAACATATAATGGAAGGTGTGGATGATGATATATGGAAATAATTCTTAGCAGAATGTGATCAAGATAATGATGGTAAAATATCAGAAGAAGAATTCATCAATCTTCTATCAGATAAATTTTGATATTTTCAAGAATCATGAATAATCTCTATATCTGCTGCTTCTGCCATACTTTCTATTGATGATTCATCTTATCCTCTTTTCATTCTAAATCTACCATTCTCTCCCCATTATTTACCCCAACTATTCTATAGTAACCAATATTTTATTCCATTCTCTTCTCCCCAACCATAACATAATACTGAATGATCAACTTTTTCCTTTTTATATTAATTTTATTTATAATACCCATTCTGGTTTAGCTAATCCATTAATAATCCAATCTGGAGTTGTGGAATGGAAAACTCCACCAACATAAAACATAAAATCAAAAGTTGGTTCAAAATTCATAACAACAGGTCCATTTTTATAGATCTCTTCCATTATATTCAATTCATTTGATTTACCATAAGCTCCTCCAATAAATCTATAATTAATAACCCTAAATTATTTCTATTTCTCACTTGCTTTACATTTCCCTACCTATCCTTTATAAGGATATTCTTTCTCTTCATATATAAATCCATCCAATTCTGTAAGATATTTCTCTACCAAAAATGGATAACCACCATCACAACCTTAATTATAATAATTGCAATCAATAGATTATTAAGGTGATAAATCTACTTTCAAACCTTTAATCTTTAATCTAGCTGATAACATTGTCATAGTTGAAATAGTATAACATGATCCACAACCCTTTTATTCATATATTTTCTTCCCTAAATATTTTTCCCATGAAAATTCCTTAGGTAAATGACTTAAATCATATTCTAATATCTATTATTTCTTTTTTTATTTTTCCAATAATATAGTTGATGAATGCTTTTTTCTACCTGCATATTTATTCAACTATTTTGTTGTCAATCCAATTATTTCACCATATGCCTTAGCTTTCCATTATAGATTTGCTCTATTAATCTACTCAACAAAATTTAAAGCATCATTTCTAGACCAAACCTTATTGATTCCTGAATTCTAATACTAAAAGAATTATGGTTGCACAACATGTCCATTATTAGCACCTTCTGATACTTTATGAGTCTTCTCTTATTTAAATGCTCTATAACATCCTCTTTCATTAGTTTTGATATTCTAATACCATCCAATCAAAGTCTCTCCACAATATGAATATGCACCAGAATAATTTGTCTTGTATTTTGAAAAAGCAAAACATTTATAATGCATAAAATCTACCTCAAATCCTTCATCATAAACCATACTCCATTTGCCTTATAATTTCTTTTTTTAGACAACATTATTCTTAGCAGTCAATATAACTTCATGTGTAAAAGCCTTTTAAAATGTATTCTATCCTGCAAATTATGAACTACGTTCATTATCTGGTACATCATGACCACATGTCAATGGTCCACTGCCTAGATGAATCTATTAAATTACCTTTAATTTATGGTTCTGTAAATTCTAATTACCATTTTCCTACAATTTAATGACGAACACAATGTACTGGTAAATCTGCATGAACACTCAGAACTAATATAAATTACAATAACATAATTAATTCGTTTTTTTATTTGTTTTCAAACACATAATTATAATGGCTAATTCAAAAATTTCTTCAAATTATCAAGTCCTGGTGTTTCTATATGAGTCTCTTTCATAAATTGTTTATCATCAGTTTGTTGTTACCAATACTTCAAGTTCTCATGAATCTGTTGCAAACAAACTTCTGTCACTTTTTCGCTATGCAGAGTTAGACTATCATGTACTTCTGCAATAAGGTAACGAATGCATTGAACATTGGCAATACAATAGCTTTTAGAAATCCTTCTTAAGATTTGGTAACACACTAATTTCTGTCGCACATTGGTGATACAGGTACTTTCAAATATGATTCTAAATCTCCTTATAAAAAGAATTCCTCTATAATTCTTCTACTCCAAAGTTTATGCATTTTTAATTATTTCGCACCATGACCAACATCTTATATGGATGATATAATTGAATACCTGCACATTTAATACAAATAGACATTAACAAATTTTTATCAAGATCTTATGATTCAGTTAATTCTAAATAATTTTAGAATTTATTCATTAATTGAAAATGTCTTGTTAGATCTGTATCTAAGATTAGATTTAAACAATATTTTCTAAATCCTTTTTATTCAACCTATCCTAAATTCTATATAATATTGAATTGATCTTATGAGAGAATTTAAAACAATAAAAAAGAATGATAATTTTCAAGTACACTCTAATCATTATCTAACATATTTATATAAATACATAACAAAGCTAATTTACATCTATTACTCATCATAAATCCATTATTAAGACCAGGATGTCCTATATCATGTGCCAAAGATGATATTATTAAACAAGCCTATTCAAATTCATCTAATAATTCATTTAAACCATTTTCCAAGAAAAATCCAGTTGAATTTGTTACATCTAATGCATGCATAGAATTATGATATAAATTATTAAAGTATGACATATCAATTTTTAAAGCAAATTCTCCAATCAATTCTGGTTTAATTATCTTAAAAGTTTAAGCAATCTTAAATTTCTTAAAAATATTAATAGTATTCTCAAAAAATATTCTTGTTTATATATTATCTTAAGGTTTATTTCTATAATATTATAAAAAGTCTGCATTAAAATCAATTCTTTCCAATTCTTCCTCTTAAATTTGATCTTAATAATCTTAAATGTATTCAAATGATGGTTATTTTTGTGTAAAATGAGATAATAAGAATCTATTCAATAATATAAATATATCATTACTATTTAGCATCCACACTGAATCCTTCTTATTCATTAATTAATTAATTACTTCTTAGAAATTTAGGTAACCATATTGATTCTTTTTTACCTGATAGTAAATTCAATAGATCATCAATATCTTCAGTTGTAATTTTAACTTCTTCAAGATTCTTATCAGAAAATGATGCACTATTAGAATTTTCATTATTTCTATAATCAGTTGCACTTGTCATTAATCTTTATGATTTTCTTCTAAATTAAGGAGGATTATTATTGTTTTCTAATTAATAAAAATTATTATTAGAACAATCTTATTAGATTGAACTTTATTCATCTGTAATATTATTATCAGGTAATTATCTAAGTGAAAATGCATTTTAATGAATTTCTGAGTTCATTTTCTTAGGTTTCCTAATTCCTTTTTAAATATTATTATTTTTAATCAATAGTTATTAATATTTAATTAATCTCAATTTCTTTAACAAATCATTTGCTCTTGAAGATAATTATTATTAAGCTAAACTTTCTTAATTATCTTATAATTTATTTATTTATTCATTATAATAATCTTTCATAATATCCAATTCATTAGCAAAATCTGCTATTTTATGATTGTATTCTTTATTTAAAAAATGCATTCTCCATATTATTCCTTCTATAGCTATTAAAGCAATAAAAAAATATTTAAGTATTTGGATAACTTGATTTTGTAAATATAATTATGTAATAAAGGATATAATTGAAATTGAATAGGTAATTTCACGTATATGATGGATTTGAAATCGAGTAGAAATTAGTATCAGGAAAGCAATTGAAATTAGGTAATTTTGACAATGCTGATTGCTTAACATATATTGTTATTCACAAATACCTTTTTTCTTGATACACAAATATAATATTGCTGATTAATTGAATGGTTATTCCCAAATAAACTAAAATCTTAGCATTTTCTTATCTTATTTTCTTATTATTTCTTAAAGTATTTGCTAAAATGAAGACTAGAATAACTCTAAGACTTATATGATATTCTTGATTTTCAGTTGATTCTATTATTGGCCAAATTACTAATATAAGTAAAATGAAGTAAATATCTTTAGGCTTTATTTAATTGATATTAGATTATCTGGCAAACACTTCAGAAAACCTATCTTTAATTTGATCATGAATTTCAGAACTCATCAAAATAAAAATATAAAATATCTATATATATTTTACTTTAAATAAATAATCAATACATCTTTTCTAGATAAATCAAACCCTCTTTTATACAAATAATTATCCATTCTATGTTTGGTCTATTTTAAGGATCAGGATGGAGACATTTAATAGCAAGATTACGTAAATGTTTCATTAAATGTTTAGGTCCTAATGATTTTATGAAGTCTAAATTGGATCTAATTTAATATTATTAATTTTGATATTTCTCTTTCAAATAATTTTGATTGCTTTATTTGTAATCCTCAAGTTACGTCATAAATAATTACAATCGGATATTATTCAAATAAATATTCATACATCAACATTCCAAAAGAAAAAATGTCTGATTTATGACCAATTTTATTTTAATTATTTTTTTAGTTATCTATAGAAACAACTTCAGGTGCAACATAAGGTAGTGTACCTCCATAATTTTCACACATATAAATCTAATCTCCTTATTTGTACATGGCTTAACCAAAATCTTTCAATTTTACAAAATAATTTTTTGAAATCTCTAATAAATATAAACAGTACCAATACATTTTTAGGTATTAGATTATTGTGAATTACTCCATATTAAGACAAATACCTTAAAGCATTTGCAATCTAAAAAAGTATAAATAATCTAGTATTTAAACTCTAAGTAGCTTGAAATTTCTATGTGAAATTGTCTAATGACATATTCTAATAGAATTCCATAAATAAAAATTAATCATATTCATCTCTCTAATTTGTCATATAATATTAAGCAATATATGGACAATATCCATTTTAAACTAGTTTTTAATTTTTATCAATCAAAGGTTATGACAAAATTTAACTATAATCTTCAATTAAATTTTATACAGTATTTTTTTCTCATATACAAAATTTCTTGATTGTTTCTTTTTTTAAATCTCATTTTATTATACATTTATATCCTATTTAATTTGCTTATTTTATTTGGTCACTATTGTCCTTTTTATAGTTGATTAAAGTTAAATTTAGTCTTGATTCATCATCATATCCATTTATTTTACCTAGATTTCTGATTTATCTGTATTCATATTTGATATTGACATAGTTGTTTATTAATCTAGAGTATATTCAAAAGTAAAATCTAATTAGCCTTTTTTAAGAATTGAAAATTCTCCTTCTGATATAATTTCAGATTTATCTATTTATTCAGAATTTAATAATCTTATCTTATTTATAATTTTATATTAAGGATTCATTTATTTGGGATATATGAAATGCTATTAAAACTATTTTATCTCATCTTCACTTATTTCTATTGTACATTTACTAATAAATAAAATAATTTGATTACTCTTCAATAATTTCTTCAATTCTTAATAAATAAATATCGAATTAAGGATGGATTTTACGATATTGATCTTATAATTTTTATTCTAGAAATGGAAAGACTTTATAAGATAATTTATTTATTAAATGCATTAATCTATAAATATGATATCCAATTGCATAATGACTTGTTTAATGCAGCATATTTAGTAATTTTAATAATGGATGATTTGATTCATTTATAAGCATTGGATCTAATTACATTAAATCTGTCCAATATTCTTCAATCAATATGGAATTTAGTTTTAATTAAATTTAACCAGTCTCATTTTCTATACTAAAACATGCAAATCTCAAAGAATTATTAATTTTACAAAAATATTTTGCTAATAATCTTTGAATATACTTAAAAATTAATAATTAATAAACTTACTTTCTCTTTTACTTAAATGAACTGTCCATCAGATTTAGCAATATAAGATTTACAATCCAATCGTTTTCTTAAAAAATTTATTGTTGTTGTACATATTGCTAAAAATTTGCTTGAATACCTAAATAAGTATTTTAATTAACTTACTATTCTAAAGTAATTGTAATTTGCCATTACTAAGATTCCCTATTTTAAGTTATATCATAATTTTAAAATTTCAAATTCTCAAAATGAGTTTCAATAAATGATTGATTATATACAAATTTATCAAACTAGGTCTCTTCTATGTCATTTAAATCAAGTAAACTAAATTCTTTTTCCATTTCATCTTAATTAATCATAATTTCTTATTATATTTCTTTCATAAATTATTAATTAACTTATCTATATATATATATATACATTATAAAAATTAAAGTTCAATAAACCAAATCTAAAAACATTAAGCTATCTATTAAAACCAATATTATTTTATCAAGATTTGGTCTTTTTTATTCGTCAGGCTATAAACCTAATAATTTTAATGAATTTTTTCTTACATTAAATACATAATCTACCTAAATATTTCATTAAATACTATGGTCCAACTAATTTTTGATATTCTTCCTTATATCTAACAAAATAATTCTATGTTTACAATTTATCCTTCTAAATTCTAAAATCCTATTAAGTATATATTATCTAATTACAATAGGGTATCGATCAAATAACAGTTCAAACAATAATACACCAAATGAATATATATCATAAGCATATGTTAATTAATTAGCCTCTAAATTTTAATAATATTCAGGAGGACAATATGGAATTGTTTTTCCTGGCCTTTAACCATCAATTATATTTCTAGTATTTATAGCCTCTCCAAAATCAGTTATTTTTGCTATTAATGTTTTGGATATCATAATATTTGCTGGTTTTATATCTGTATGTATAATTCCATAATTGTGAATGTATCTTAAACCCTTAGCAATATTAAGAGCAATAAAAATTCTTGTAGATAAAGTTAAGACTTCTTATTATGTCACCATAAAATAATCCAATGAAGAATGATAATATCTTTCCATCAAAAGTATATCAGATCTATCTTTTAAATAATAAAACTAAGCAATAAATGGACAACAACCAGAAAAGGAAAAAGAAGAATTACTAAATATTTTAATATATATATATTACTTGGTCTATATATCTTATCGTACTTAACTTAATACTTTTATAATCTCAACTTCCTTTTTTATTTTATCTTCTTACTACATTTTATCAACCTTAATAACAAGAGACCTTTCTTGAAGTTATGATACAGATCCATCATTCTTTTTCAACTTAAAACTTATTTTCTTTGAATAAATATTGCAAAAGCCTCCTTTATTTATTTAACATTCTTTATTTACTTACAAATCATTCTAATTTACTGGAATAATCTCCATCAAACATTCATTTTGAACCATAAATTATTTTTAAATTATTGGACCAAAACTCGCATATTCTTATTAGCTGAATTCTAAATGCATTTATCTATTTTAAAATATAAATTATACTTTTTAACAATTTTTTTGATCCTACCTAATACTATTTCAGCATCTTTTGGGATTTTTTTCCAATTATATTAAGGTTGTTATTTTTATTTCACTTATTCAAAATATTTTTCATATAATGCAAATTGTTTTTTGTTTATTTTATTAATCATAAACATTATTCTTAAAAAAGGAAATCTAATTGAGTAAATAGCAGTCATAATTAAATTATCCAGAAATGCAACAAATTAATCTAAATCACAGTTAGTATTAAAAAAAAGATCCTTTTAAGTATTTATACATTATAAATTAAAACCAATGTCTCCAAAGACAGGATTGATAAAAAAACTCCCTACACGAAGTCCATGATTCAGTCGTAAAGCAAATCTACAAACTTATAGTCTAAGTAGCTAATACTTTTATTATTAGATATACTTTTTGATGGATTTATAATTTACCATCTTCATCACAAATAAAAGCCTTGAATTCAAAATCTTACTCCTTTGATTTAATTGCTATTTGAAATAAAATTACAAAATTTCCAGGATAACTCTCTAAAGGTATATTCAAAATATATGTATCCTCATCAAAATCTTTTTATATATTTATATTGGTTTATGGGTATTTGACGCTAATTATTTTAGATAATTATTATATCCTATTTTTTAAATTATTTTTCTTAGTTTATACTTCCTATTCTTAAATTTAGGCTTTAAAATAAGTATTTCCTTCAATAACATCTAAAATGCTTTGTTTTTGCCCATTCATCAAAATATTATTAAATTTAATATATAATAATCTTTTGAAAGAGTGACTCATCACTTAAAAAATTAGTTGCTGTCAAAAAAGAAGTATAATTAATGTTTCATGAATAGATTGGCTTTATTTATATTATCAGAAATTTATTAAATGGAGAGCTTGTAATTAATGATTATTAATTTATAGAAGTATATTTATTTACAATAATACCTACTTGAATCAAATACTAATGAATACCAAAGAGATTTATTCTAAAATAATAGATGATTTTAGATGTGTATTTGAAATAAAATTAAATTAAATACTACAAAATGCTAAATTAATAAATAAGAACAATAACCCTTTTAATTTAATGTTATGCAGATAATTAATAAATGTTAAAATTATATTTGAGATCAAATAACATTTTTCATATTAAATAATCATATATATTGCTTTAGAATAATTTGGATCAATTTATAGCTACCTATAAGAAAATAATATATTAAATAATACAATATTAATAGATGGATTATAAAATATCTGGGGTCTACTAAACATTTATTTTCAAAATATTGCTAACAAGTATAAATATAATAATTGAATAATTCATTACTTATGACAAAATTCAATAAAAATTCTTTATTTTTTATTCAAAAATACAAGTAAATAAGAAATACGATTTGACTCTATTATTTAATGATATTCTTATTATTAATTTATTGTTCTGTTTAATCTAATACAATTGCTGAAGCATAATAAATATGATCTAATTTATTCTCTTTCTACATTTAAGTTTCTTAATACAATATTGCTTATTTAGAAAAAATACAATTATAATTATTTTCATCTCTTTGGTTATTTCTTCTTAGATTAAATCATACTTGAATAAAATTATATACACAATTCTAATTTATAATCATTAATCAATATAGGAATTTTAGATATTAATATAATAATATATTATTAATAATATATAATTTATGATTATGTAAACACTCATTTTGTAATCACAAAAATTCCTGCACCAATAGCCAAAATCAAAAGAATTAAAAATATAATATTTGTGCTTGAACCACTTCCACTCACATTTGGTTTTACACCTTTCATATATCATATTATTTATACCTGTTATTACTCCAACTTATAATTTTTCTAATTATCTATAAGCACTTTGAGAATGATTTGCATCATGAAAAGCAGCACTTGCATCATCACCAGCTTTTCCCAATAAGATAGCTGGACCACCTGGATGATCATCTTAAAAGTCTGTAACATCGTACACTTTCCCTTCTATAACCATCCATAAGTCTTCCTTTTTATTATGCTATCCTAATTCTTCCCATGAAATTTAACGATTTGGATTTACATTAACCTAATTGTTTGATTATTTAATTTCCTACTTTTTGTTTTTTAGATTTCACAAGCTTTATGTAATCATTTGGTTATGGATCTGTAGTAAGTGTACCAACTAATCTAGCATTTCTAAGAGAACGAGCATAATTCGAATGGTTCACTTCTAAAAATTTCTAAGTCCCATCCAATCCACCATATTTAAGTAAAACATCATCACCTCCTGGATGTTCTGCCAAATATGTTGTTACATCAAACACTTATCCCTCAATAGCAACCCAAAGTGATGTACGATTACAATGATCTGCTAGTTCATTCCATTATACTATTCTCTTCTCTCCGTTCATTTATTTACAAAATATCTAATTAAATTTATCTCATATTCTGAATCCTTTATATATATTTATTTAATATTAATATATATATATGTATATATTTTCTATAAATAATTTTCTAAAATCTCTAAATTCCATCTATTTTATTAAATGAATAATATTATTTTAATAAAATATTTTGATATAAAAAATTGAAATGTATAAATTATAATAAAACAAGAAAATGTTGTTAAATTTTTAATTTAAATAAAAACAATTAATTCAATCAAATTATTATAAGAAACTTTTCTCTTACTCTAGCTCTACATAAGGGACATTCTAATTTAGTTTATAACCATTATTTCCAACAATCTTAACATGCTACATGACCACATTTTTCAGATTTACACATAATTTTATCTGGTGTATTAGACCAACAAATAACACATTTCAATTCTTCCGTTTCAAATTAATTATCAGATTTATTTGTTTCCTTTGTTTCAGTCTATCCTATTAATTACTCAATTGTAATTTTTTCACATTATTATTCAACAGGAAGAGATTTCTTTTAAGGATTGTAAATATCTCCTAATAATGTTTTATTTAACATTATTTTTCTCTTAGATGTTTAAATTTGAACAGGTTATTTGAAATGTAATTTAATAGTTTAACCTTTTTTGTTTTCAATTTTTTAAGTATCTTTTCTATTCTCATTTAAATTTTCAGATCTTACTAAAACTGAAACTTACTAAAATATAATTTATTTATATACTTTCTTTAATTCTTTAATAACATCTGGAAAACTTAAAACATTAGGAAAATTCTCATCTTTCCACAATAATTTCTATTAGAATTTTTCATCTAAAACTATTAAATTACATGGACATAATGAATCAAGTATATGTTATAATCTTGAAATATTTCTAATTGCATTCACCATACTAAAATATTTCCTATCATACTTTAATATTTGAATTTATTACATTATTTTTTAAATTCTTTAACCATTCTAATTTTAAATTTAATTGCACTTATGGTAATTATTCATGTCCATTTTCTTAATAATACATAAATTAACTAGCCCATGGTACTCCTAATAAAAACACTGTTATTTATGATGAATTTTTTAATGTTTAAGGATGTTTAATTTAATAATCTAATTATATTTAAATAGCCTCTTATAATTGATCCAAAAATAAATCATTAAATACAGTATAAATTGAAGGCATAGTATCACCAACAATAGTATTAGATCTACATTTGTTTAGAAAGAGACGTATGATCTCAAATATACTTTTTTTCTATAAAATAATAATAATAAATAAATACATTCTAATATTTAATCCATTAGAATTCTTTATTTACACCTAGAGATGATAGTATAGAATGTTGACTCCATATATCCTAACATTTTTACATAAATGATTTAGATGAAAAAAGAGTAATAAATCCATGATCATTTAATTAATAATTTATTTATTAAAACTATTTACCAATTTCAAGTATCATAGCATCAAAATTTTATTCAGTTTTATTTAAATAATCAATATTGTAATTTTGAACTTTACTTATAAGAATTTAATTAAGTTTCAATTCTTAAATTGGAATTTAAGGATAAAATTAAAAATGGATATTAAATTCAGTTTTATATAATTTAGCAGGATATGAATGTTAAGTAATGATTATTATATTCTAAACTCCATTACTTTATAATTTATTCATTCCACAAAGTGGACTTAAACATAAAAGATTTAAATTATATGAATTTTAAATATTATCTATAAATAGTACTAATTTATAATCTCTATAATTTTATTATTCTGTAGCTTATATAGATTTATCTACAGATATCTTATCAGTAGTTGGTATAAGTATTTAATTGTTTAATTATTATTATTATTATTAACTTATTATTTCTTATTCATTTGAATCCTACAATTCAAATGTTTATTTTATAAATATATACCATTATTGAAATAAATATCTTTATGGTAAATTATATATTTAATCTAAATACTATTCATAATTTGATTAATCTATACAAGAATATTTGGGTTGTGTAAATGTTCCATTAGATTTAACAAAATATTATTATAATTATGAAAAGAATTCTGAATCTGGAATTTTTTAAGTGCATTAAGTTACAATTTAAGCAATCTTATTTGATTCAATAATAAATTCATCCTTTTAATTATTTAGAGTCTAATAATTAATAAATGTGTTACTTATGCATATTAAACTATTCGATTTCCAAATGCTATAATTGGCATTAAAATATCATATTGTTATTAAGTGAGTGTACAAACTTAAAAAGTATTGTTGGACTGAAATTATTTTGAGAGTAATTTTAATTTGTTATTCATTTATTAATCCCATTTAGTTGGTGTTTTTTAAGGACTAAAAAATGTCTTAATCATTTATGATATCGTATGAGAACTAATTGATGTACTCATTGCTTTCTCTAATTTGAGGGGTAAATCATGTCCGTCTTCAAAGATAAGCGTCGCATTGTTGAATTTTAGGAAGAACTACCATATCCACACACATCACTTACCAGATTATCAAATATATCTTAATGTGTTCCAACTCTAAATGTGGTTTGATGATTTTTGAAATATTTGTTGGAGCAAACCTATTCAAATTCAAGTTGTTTATGCATAGTTTCTACATTAACAAAATCATAAATATGAGTAAGTTGCTTATCTTTATCACAAGTCCTTTCACATAATTATGTAATTATGGTCATGCCTTTTTTGAATGGACTGTGACAAAGAGACGTAACACTTCTCGTAAGATAGAAATACTCCTCCAAATCATGCTTACTTTGTTACCAATATTAAAAAGTAGGAAGTAATAGAGACCCACTTTCTATAATTGCATTTTCTTATTTCTCTAAAATTTATTCAATATTCATAATATTAAATATTAAATTATTGAAATATATGACAAGAATGGAGAATATGATTAAATCTCAATTGTAAATAATCATATATATGTTGATGAATATTTATTTATAAAACATACAGACCCATATGTATTTAAAATAAATAATAAAAAATATCCATAAAAGTTTGTATTATTTTATATATTGTTTTTTTTCAATTTATAATCTCCATAATATTGCTTATAAATATTTATAGGATGATTATAATCAAATAATTTGTTCATTCTAAATAGACACATGTTTTCTTTATTTGATTATATATTTAGACATATCCTGTTCTAATTAATGAAGTATTATTGTCCGTCGCAATTTGCACAGATTTAAAATTTAAAGTATTAATAAAGGAAGTATATTATAAATTATTATTTTTAATTTTTTACTATAATTAAAGGAATTCTTCACAATAGTTTGAAAATGAGTTAGAATTTTATGCATTTTTATTAATTATCTTGTTTATAAGATTACAATATGAAGTGTATTTAGATAAGATTTATAGAATTTCTCTTATTTCTCTATGATATTTGACATTAACAGTTAGAATGGTAGTTCTTCTTAAATAATATATATTGGATCTCCATATATTAGTTATTATTTTGTATAGATGATGCATAAGTAAAGAGATATTTTAATTTTTATAAGATCAAAAAATTAAGATCTTAGTATCTTGGATATAAGTTCTGGAATATTAAATGATTCTTAATTTGTTATAACTATGAAACTTGTTAGTGAATGATATTATAAATAATCAATTTTATTTCATTTTTAAATAAGATATTTAAAATGAATTTCCTTTTCTTAATCTGAAACATTAAAAAAAATTAAATTAAAACTCAAATTCATAAGCCACTCAACATGCATCCACATTATTTTCCTTATAAATTCACTTAATACTCTTCCTAACCCTCTGTATACCTCTACCCATAATTTATACCACAACAAAATTACAATTACTATAATTTTCTACATTACAAACCCCCCATATATTAATAGACACAAATGCCAATTTAATAACAGCAAATTATAATTATCTCTGATGATGAAGAATGTGTGCAAGTCCCAAAAATAGAAAAATCAATTCCCGCATAAACTATCAATACAACTCAGTCCTAAAAATAAATAGCCAAATTGCTGGACCTTGATACACTAGAAGCTCAAGGAAAGTTATATGATTATGAAAGTTCCCCATCCCCTCAATTACCTAAGAGAGTTATCAAAAAACCACCTAAACCACTATATAGACCTTAGAAGAGAAAAGTAATCAAGACTCGTAAAGAACCGATTAAACATTCTTATTAAAAGATTAAACATGTTTAAATAGGAGCTGAAAGACAATAATTACAATATACTTAATCAAATATAAAGGCAAAATTCATTAGAGTATATGAGAAACAAGAAGATAAATGTATGTATCATTTTAAATTATTATAGTTTCTAAATTATTTGATTAATTAAAACTTAATTTTTAAGAAGCTAATGATGAAGATATAGCAATCATTCTTAATATGGTTGGTAAAGATTATCAAAAGGCTGAAAAATTTATTAATGAAAATGGATTGTATATTCAAACATACCTTTAAAGTAATTAATAATAATTTAATCTAGATTATAAGGATTTATCGGAAGATGACTCTACTATCAAAAAATGAAAACAAAAAATAATTATATTATAAATAACATATAATAATTAATTTAATGAATTTCAAATGCGTTGTTGCCATTAAAACTAAAACTAATTGCAAATGCAATATAAAAATAAATGAAATCTCAAAATCATTAGATTTACCTTCTTAAGAAGCATAATTTTTTGATATTTCGTAATTATACTATCTAATTTAAACAAAGTTAAATTCCTGATCACATTCTATTTGAATTTGAAAACATTGCTGTGTTGACTATTCCAGTACCCAAAGAGTAAACAGATGAAATTGAACTTACTGATTCATTTCAATTAAAAGACTTGAAGGGAAAATATTACATTTTATTTCTTCTATCTAAAGACATTAAATTTGAAACCAATCAATCCCATCAAAGTCCTTTAAGACATTATTTAAAGTCATACAAGACTAGAACAAAAGAGAGATAACAAAAGGTAAAGACTTAATAATTAATCAATTAATAACCTAATTCCATAAAATAACAGAACTAAAATGAACTATTAAAATAACAATATGAAACAGTTAAAGAAGAGAATAAACTATTAAAAATGAGAGAAAGAAATGATTATTTGAATGAATTAGAAATTAGTTAAGCCAAAAGAAAGTAATTATAATAATTTATTTCATAATTATCTGAAGATTTAACAAATTAAAATGAAACACTTTAAGAAAAACATATACGATTATCTAATGAATTAATTGAATTATAATAGAAATTTGATGATCTTCAATCACTTTCTATAGAGTAATAATTAAAAATTGAATAAATGCATGAAATTATTCAAGATAAATAAGCATCAATATAACATTTATAATAAAATATTGAAAATCAAGATCAAAATAAATAGATGCTTTAACTTTATGCAAAATAGAAGAAGGATCTTGAATAGGTTTTATAATAGGTATCAAGTTAATATGAAAAGGATTTATTGGATAAACAATAATAAATTTAGAGATTGAAAAATGAAGAAGTATTAATATATAAATTATAAAATAGGTTAATCTATTAAAAGAAAAAGAACAAAAATTAGAATAAGAGAATGAAATGTTGAAATAGAAAATATAATCATAAGAAGAATAATTAGAAGGATTAAATAATTATATCAATTAATAAAAAGTTAAATTAAGTCTTGTAGAATAAAAAAATTGTTAAAATTAAATATTTGAATAATTGAATAATTAATTAGAGAAAGATATAATAAATAAAGATAAATAAATTTATAAATTATAAGATGATATTGCACTTTTGTAAAGATAAATAGGTTTTTAATAATTTCATTAAAATGATGAACTTGAAAAAGAAATTAGATAATTGAAAGAACAAATTGCAAAATAATTATTATAAATTAATTCTTTGGATACTGAAAATACTAAATTAAGAACTGAAAATTTAAAAATTGCAGTACTTCAATAAAATCTATAAACTCTTAAGATTTAATATACAATCCCAGATTTTCCTGATTTAAAACCTTTAAATTCAAAAGTAACTTAATTTTAATCCCAAATTGAAAACTAAATGAAAGAAGTATATATATTTTTTATAATATAATAGTTAAATAATTTAAGATAAACTATTTTTGATTTAAATAAAAAGCATGATGAAAAAGAATTACACAATTCATAATTAAAAACTATGATGACTTAAATTGTTGAATCTAATTAGGCATATATACCAGCAAAAGGAGATGACTTAGATTAATAAATAGCAAATTTTATTAATAATAGAGTTGATAAAGAGAAATATATACCCTTATTAAAAAGACAATCTGATGGAGTTTATTTATATGGACACAAAAGGATATTTATTAAATAGGAATAAGGAAAGATTTTGATAAGAAGTGGAGGAGGTTATTTGAATATAGAAGAGTTTCTTGGATTAAATGAAAGTAAAATGAAAGATCTTACAACTGATGTTATTAAAAGATAAGCAATACAAAAAAAGACTGAAAGAATGAAAACGATTACTTGATTTGCATAATAATATGCTAATCATTGTATATATATATATATCAAGATATAATATTAATTATTAAGTACTAACAATTTGTAATTAAACTTTCACTAACTAGCATTTTGATTAATATTTGATTACACAATTTATTAAAGAATGAGTATTATTCAATCTTATTAAATTATTTATGATACTTAATTAATTAAAGAATCAACCAAAGTGGTATTTAAAAAAGGATTGGAAGATTAAAACTTAAATACTAATTGCATCTCTGATTGTTTATTTATTTATCTTTACTATTCTAACAATAGCAGTATTAGTTTCATAAAATTACTTACATGAAATGCTAACTTTATTTTCACATCAAATATTTTTGAAATAAACTAAAAATTCTTTAGAATATCAGTGGGTATACAAAAGAGGTCTAGAATTAACTTTATTACACACTGCATAATAAATTTCTTTTGTCAGAGATTTCAACTAGCTCTTTGATTCTCTATTGATAAATAATAGCTTCAAAGTTAAAGAATATCCAATGATGTGTTTAAATGACCCTAAACAAAATGATACCTATTGTTATACTAGCTCAGTTCCATGTGGTCTCTTTGGAAATCCTATAAATAGTTTATAAAATTTAGGAGTTGATAGCATCTTATAAACTAGTTCAGTTTTAACATCATATAAATTTACATTAGATAGTGCTGTTCCTATCTATTATTTTAACAATAACAATTCATCATAATTATATTGTATTACTATTGGATTATAGTTTCCAAAAACCTTTAGCCCCATTAAAAGGTAATACTATCTAGATCATTTAAAGGCATCTGCTAATGCCACTGATCCAAAAGCCACTTATATTGTTAATCCATATACGGTTATCACTAATGTAATCAATTTTCCTATGACTACTAATTTACTTGATTAAGCAAATGGTGTAATGGGTATTATTGTGAAAGGCATTGATTTAAATTATGAAGCTCTATCTAAATTTAATAGTAATGATACAAAAATTCTAATAATTGATAAGACTGGTAAAGTATTGTTGTCAGACCTTTATAACATTAAAAGCCAACCTTTATATCATTTAAATGAATCTGAGTTTTCTGGATTCAATAATTCTGACCTTGAATAGATATTTTAACATCACTATTAAAAAGAATTTGAAAGTAATTGTAAGAATATCATTTCCACAAATATATTGTGTAGATTTAACTCTTTAAGTAGAGATAATCTTATTATTGAAACCAAAAATATTTCTAATTCTCCATTCATAATGGTCATGCTATTAAAGACAAATTTTATATTAAAATAAGAAGCAGAATTTTTGGAAATTTTAGACTCAATATTTCGTACAGATATTCGTAACAGTTTAATATTGAGTTTAGTAATTCCTATTTTCATTTTATTTTGTTCATAATTCCTTATTAATATTATCTTAAAATAATTGAATAGAATTATTTATGACATAAAAGCCTTCTTATTTAGTAATAAAAAAGAATACTTGACGACATAATTATTTCAAAAAAATAGTATGATATTATCAGAAACTATTATTGACTTTTAAGCAGCTATAATTAATTTATTTTAACGTTAAGCAACATTTAGAAAATCTGATGAATGTCTTTCTGTAGAAAATATTTAATTTCCAATATACACAAGACTTTACAAATTTTTAGTTCAAAAACTTTTATATATTATTAAATAGAAAAGATTTAAGAATAATTCTGTTACAGATAGTTTTTAATTCTTTGCAATGAAAGAAGTATTTTTCAAATGATAACTAAGTTATATATATATATGATGACATAATTTTTAATTTTATTAAGATTTTTTTTGTATTAAATGATTTTTCAGATTCTTAAATAAACAATTGAGAAAAAATTTCATTATAATTTTCTTCTCAAATTATTATTAAAAATAATTGATATA